ATATATATTATAAGAATCTACTCCGCTTTAGACGTCCCCCTTTTTGGGGAAAAAATACAAAGCTGCGTTTCACCAAACAAAGATCGCCGTATAAATGTGCTAATTAAGGAACAATGACTTAAGTACGTACTGTACGTATTTTTTTAATCACGATAATTTTCTGATAGCTTCCTTACTTTTCAAAATGAATACTACAAAAAATATACCCGGAGCACGCAAGTTTTTCCATCAATTTGAAGGAATTCCTACCCTCAGGGATGGTAAGTTTATTTCTGAATGGAATCAATACACCAGTGAATTGGCCACAACGCCAATGGATCCAAATTTGTGGTGCCAACGTGCTTTAGTATGCCTCCAAGAAGGTTATCCGGAAATTGCCCTTATTGATGCGAAAAGAGTTTTACTGTTATGTAAAGATAACATCAAATTACAGCAAATAAGTTACAAGGGACAATATTATTATGCCGAAGCTTTACGTGCTTTAGGCCTTCCTGGGATTTCTGCCTCAGAATATGAAAAGTTAAAAGATCTTTCGGAAAGTTTTGATAAGACAAAAAAGGAAGAACTTCAGAAATTAGCATTAAAATTGAGGCAAATAGATAATATTCGAATTCAGGTATCACCAGATGAGGTGGCAGAACCAAAAAATAAATTATTGCTCGAGAAAATATCAACAAAATGGGGATTTACCAGCCCCATTTTGTTGACATATGCTGATTGTGGATGGTTTAAATTCAATGGTCAATATCCTTGGGATCAACGTCCAAATGAACGTATTTCAGCTGCTATACTAAGAAAACTTCAGAATCAACTTGATAATGTCAGCAATAAAAAGTTAAAGGTTGTTTTACGAAAGCTTTCGCCTGATTCAGCTAAGGAGTCAAAAATGACGATTCACTTGGGAGTTGAGGCCACTAAAGATTTTATAATCCATGAAACTATCCTAGAAGAAGATCCATTTATTGCAGGACATAATCACTTCTCTAACAGATGTGAATATTGTACGCTTGAGCTCGTTGAAGAACCTGGTCATCCAAGATGTCCAGTCAAGTACCCTTGCCATAATTCTCAATGTAAAGAGTTGTTTTGCAACCAGAAATGTTACAAATTAGCAATGAAGCTTTATCATAAACAACTTTGTGGAAAGAGTATTGATACTATCATTCGTTCAGCACAGAGAGTTCGTCCAGGTTGGAACCATATTTTTATTTTAGCATTGAAACTTTTTGCTTTAGCTAAGAAACGGGACATAAACCCATTAGAGATTGAAGAAATTAGACATCTTTCACGTCAACACGCAAGCTCATATTACGAAGGACATCTTCCTTGGGATAGTGAATATGAAATAATCTATATTGAAATCTTAAAGCTTTTAGAAATTTCTTTATATGATCTACAATATGATTTTTGGGTATTTATAACATTGATGGCGATTCTTGGAGTGAATGTATTTAGTGGAGAAGGAAATCCACGAAATACTCACGGTATTTTTCCATTGACATCTCTTTTTAATCACAGTTGTAATCCTTTGATTACACATATGAATGCAACAGAAAAATACATTATGAAGGATTTGGTTCAACAATCTATGGAACTGCGTCAAAAATACAAGCAAATTGGTTGCAATTGCTTTCGCTTTACTACTATCACCCTACAAAATATAAAGAAAGGACAAGAAATTTTTACCAGTTACGTTGATACAACAGATGATAAACAACAACGGCAATCTAGGATTTTAGATAGTTATGGATTTATATGCCAATGTGATAAATGTGAAGCTGATCCTCAGAGTTATTTTGGTACCCCGGCAGCTATTTGCTGGAATTTGCATTATTATAATGATAATGATGAATCATTTTTCTCTCAATTTGAATGCTTAAACCTAAAATAATCTTACTTATTCTTATAGTATTATATATATATTGTTACAGTTTATTCTATTGTATATGACCCAACTTTGTAATCAATTAATAATTTATTTTATTAAAGGGTTATA